GAAGACACTGAGAATTTCAGGGTCACTAAAACGCATTCCCTACAACGTCAGCTTTTCACCCAAAATTGTCAGACAACAGGAAGTGTTGACCCACAGTCAGGGAAAAAGGGCAGCTGATAGACATTGACTTCAGGTGGACCCCAATGGTGAATTTAGCAAAAGAAGCTATCAAAGCAACTGTTAAAAATATGTTCTTAAAAAACTAAAATAAGGTGGCTGGCTCGGTGGCTCACACCTGTAATCCAGCACTTTGGGAGGTTGAGGCAGGCGGATCACTTGAGGTCAGGAATTCGAGACCAGCCTGGCCAACATGATGAAACCCTGTCTCTACTAAAAATACAAAAATTAGCCGGGTGTGGTGATGGGCGCCTGTAATCCCAGCTACTTGGGAGGCTGAGGCACGAGAATCACTTGAACCCAGGAGGCGGAGGTTCCAGTGAGCTGAGATTGCACCATTGCACTCCAGCCTGGGCAACAGAACGAAACTATCTTAAAAAAATAAAAAATAAATAAAGTATATCCAAATAATAAAATTTGTATAAGTACAGGAAAATACTATATCAATGAATAAATAGGAAATCTCAACAGAGAAATGAAAACTGGAGAAAATGGATGGCAATTCTAGCAGTGGAAACTGCAATAAACAAAGCAGAAATTTACTAGACAGCCTTGACATCACTTTGAAGGTGGCCAAGGAAAATAAACTGGAGGACAGAGCAGTAGAATTTGCCAGATTCAAAATGAAGAGAAGGCTCGACACAGTGGCTGGCTCAAGCCTGTCATCCCAGCACTCTGGGAGACCAAGGCAGGCAGATCACTTGAGCCCAGGAGCTAGAGACCAGCCTGGGCAACAGAGTGAGACTCTATCTCTACAAAAAATACAAAACAACATGTCTGGGCGTGAAGGTGCACACTTGTAGTACCAGCTACTTGGGAAGCTGAGGTAGGAGGATTGCTTGAGCCTGACAGGTCGAGGCTGCAGTGAGCCATGATCACAACACTGCACTCCAGCCTAGGTGACAGAGTGAGACCCTGTCTCAAAAAAAAAAAAAAAAAAAAAAAAAAAAATGCAGAGCTTGAAGGAAAATGAGCCAAGCCTCAGAGACCTGAGGGCCAAGAGCCAGTGGCCCAGCGTGTGGACAATGGCTGTCGCAGGAGTAGAGAGGGAAGGGCATGTATTGGCCAGGTCCCTACAATGGCCAAAAACTTCCAGAATTTGGTGGAAAATGTTAACTTACAGACGCAAAAAGTTCAACAAACCCCAAGCAGGATAAACAGGGGAAAGAAACAGTCCTAGATACGTCGTAGCCAAAGTTCTAAAAATCAAAGATAAAAAGACCATTTTGAGGCCGGGCGCAGTGGCTCACACTTCCTGTAATCTCAGCACTTTGGGAAGCCAAGACAGATGGATCACAAGGTGAAGAGATCGAGACCATCCTGGCCAATGTAGTGAAACTCTGTCTCTACCAAAAATATAAAAATTAGCCGGGCGCGGTGGCGGGCACCTATAGTCCTAGCTACTAGGGAGGCTGAGGCAGGAGAATGGCGTAAACCCAGGAGGTGGAGCTTGCAGTGAGCTGAGATCACGCTACTGCACTCCAGCCTGGCAACAGAGCAAGACTCAAAAAAAAAAAAAAAGAAGAAAAAACCATTTTGAGAGAAGTCAGAGAAGAAAACAGCATGTGAAATACAAAATAACAATGAAGAGAATCACAGGAGATTCTCACCCAAATGAAGGAGGCCCAAAGTGGGAAAAATACTAAATCAATTATGAGTGAACGGATTTATAAATATATCTAAATATTAAAAATCTGGCCAGGTGCAGTGGCTTATGCCTGTAATTCAAGCACTTTAGCAGGCCAAAGCAGGTGGATTACCTGAGGTCAAGAGTTTGAGAACAGCCTGGGCAACATGGTGAAAAACCCCATCTCTACCAAAAATATAAAAATTAACCAGGCATGGTGAAGCACGCCTGTAATCCCGGCTACTCAGGAGGCTGAGGCAGGAGAATCGCCTGAACCTGGGAGGCGGAGGTTGCAGTGAGCCGAGATCGCGCCATTGCACCCTAGCCTGGGTGACAGAGCGAGCCTCTGTCTTAAAAAAAAAAAAAATCAGCATCAGGACCAAGAAGGCTTTGCCCCTGTGTCAGAAAACCTACAGGAATATTCCACTACAGCAGCAGATGAAAGAGAACATCTGTCCACGTGTTTTCAGCTGCACAAGGCCCGGCTGCTTGTTCTCAAGGTCCAATAACGAGATGCAGACAGACTGGGAAAGGAGGGAGTTTATTTCAGCAGCCAGGTACAGGCAGGAGGTCGGAGCAGCGTACCGGACCAACTCCAAGGGACGAGTTTCTCTGCAGAGCTTGTCTACATTCTGAGATCCATGCTGCTTGTGGAGCTGCACCTGCCAGCAGGACTGTTTCATTCAGTCTCTATCTCATCTTTAGCGAGGGTCTGGGGTCTGGCAAGTTTCTCCAGAGCCTTGGAAAGTTTCTCAGTCTTAAGTGGGCTCCGGCAGGAGGTGTATTTGTAAGGATGCCTTCCCCCCCAACGCCACCCCCGCCCCAAGATGGAATCTTGCTCTCTCGCCCAGGTTGGAGGGCAGTGGTGCGATCTCAGCTCACTACAACCTCCGCCTTCCAGGTTCAAGTGATTCTCCTGCCTCAGCCTCCCGAGTAGCTGGGACTACAGGTGCCCACCACCGAGCCTGGCTAATTTTTGTATTCTTAGTAGAGACGGGGTTTCACCATGTTAGTCAGGCTGGTCTCGAACTCTTAACCTCATGATCCACCTGCCTCTGCCTCACAAAGTGCTGGGATTACAGGCTTGAGCCACAGTGCCCAGCCCAAGGATGCTTTCATTATTGGATCAGACTTCAGGGTCTGAGAAAACCCAGGCAGGGTCTTAATGGGTTCGTTATGGCATTCCAGCCCCCACACTCAGGCGCCAGCTTCCAGTTCCTTAATGTCCAGCTTATGCATTTGTCAGAAGTATAGTAAAGGGTTAGTAGAAACTGGCTGTCTGGTTGCTGATGGAAACCCAGCCTGCCCCACAAGCTCAACAGATTGGAAGAAAAACAAAGGGGGCATAAACAGTGTTTCCACAACCACCAATGAGGAAAACCTCTTCGCAGGCTAGAAACAGAAAGAGATCGTCTAAACGGACACAGAAAAACTACCAAAACCTACAGCAAACTGCTTGCTTGCTAGAGAGATTTTACAAGAATTTCCATAAAAATCAGAAACAGGATGAGATTCTCCCTCTCTCTATCCTGTAACGTTTGCTGGGTGCCATAGCCAAGACAGTAAGAGAAGCAAAGTTACTGAGAGGTATAGGAATTTAAAAAAAAAAAAAAGAAGAAGAAAGAAATGCTTTCAGGTGCCGTAATGATCTGTATGAACAATCCAAATTACTAGAACCACTTGATAACCACCTTTGGTCAGGTGCTAGGAATGACAGAGCCCAGAGGTAGCCCAGCACTCATCCGGGATGCAGATGTGGTGGCGTCTGGCTCAGGGGACGGGGCGCTGAGGCTCCACAAACAGAAAAGTTAAAAAGCAGATCTCTGCCTCCTCCTGTACACAGAATTAAATTCTGTGTATCAAAAAATCTTTAAGACTAGTAAAGAAATATTTAAGACTAGTCAGAGAATATTTTTAATCATGGAATAGGGAGGGGTCTCTTCAAACAAAACAAATAAAAACTCCTAGAGAAAAAGATTCCACACCTCTAACTCTACATTTGAAGTTTTTTCTGACAACCAATCACACCATTTGTTTTAAAAACTGAGCCAATGACTGGGAGAAATTTTGCAATACACACAACATAAAAAGGACTAATACCCAGATAAATGTGGAATTTCTACAAAGAAATAAGTGAAAGAAAAATAACCCTAAAATCTGTCCAGATGAACAGGCAAACTGCAGAAGAGAAGACCCTAACAGCTAAAACAAAAATCACATGGTAAGCGGCTCAGCCTGTCTCTTCATCTGAAAATCCAAAATTAAACCACAAAGAGATGCAAATTAGGAAAACTTTCACAGCGTGACATGCAACTGATGGGAGGATGCAAAGAGCCAGGAACCCCCACACGACTGGCCTGAGCGTCCACTGGGGCGATGACCTCCAGGGGCCTGGCCAGCACCCAGCGGTGTTTGTTGGGAGCACACACACCTCCAGCCCAGGAACTTTCCTCCCAGATACACCCACTGGAGCTCTGCCGGGTACAGCGTGGCCCAGGGACCAGCGGCGTCGGAATCTACACATCAACAGGGTCTGTGGTCGCTCGCAAGAGTGACAGCTGGGGAGGCCGTCCAGAGACCCTGCCGCTGAGCTCCGTGAGACACACACCTACCGTCACACCTACCCCAGCCTGTCTGCGACTAGAAACACTAAGAACCCTGCATATCTGCAAGGTCCAGAAATTAACGCTGGTGCCTTCATATTGTGCAATAACAAACTGCAGTTAACCTGGATGAAGCCGACCTATAGAATCGAAAAGATAGTTCTGGAAAACATAAAAGAGCAAGTTGTGATACATGACATTTTACAAAGGTTAAAATAGCATTCACCCAAAAGATGGCCGGTCAGCCGCGGCTGCACAGGTACCCTGTGGAAGCCCAGCAGAGCCAACGACGGGGCACCCGGCAGCGAGAGGGGCAGGCACGCCTCAGGAGGAAAGGTCTGCGGTGCTGGTTTCTTTAAAAAGAAATAGAAAGAAAAGATCTGAGGCAAATATGGCATCGGGTTTCCCTCCACTCACTTATACTCCTCTGGGATTTAATTTTCAAATTAATAAGCAAACAAGACACGTGAAATGGGATTCCCTGGGGTTTCATAGCGGTAATCACATGCTTGGTGTCAGGAGCTCCATAGAGACCCCTGAGGAGACAAAGCCCAACTTTTTAGAAAGCGATTTTCCAAGATACCTCAAGACACTTTGTCTTGGTCTCCTCTTCCTAGAAGAACATTCTTAAAAAAAAAAAATTAGAAACCACCTGATGTGCAAAGATATTTATAAGCAGAAAAAACTAAAAGCAAGTCAAATGTCCCAGTAACACGGCAGGTGTGAGCCACAGCGCTGCGTCGCCGAGGAGAGAACAGACCCACCCATGGCATGAGCAGGAGTCGCTGCAAACGGAAAGGTGTGTGCCACAAAGCACCAGAGGCCCCCAGGCCCCTGCGGCCTGGCCTGGGACAGCCTCGCTTCGCAGCCCAAGAGGCAGGGCCTGGACCTCACCCTGACCTCCACCTGCCACCATGCTCTGTTCCCGCCCCCCTGAATGCCCCCTTCCAGGCATCCCTGACCATCAGAGCCTCACCCCAGGCGAGCCCGACACCCTCCACCATCTGCTGCCTGGCACACGACATGAGCCATGGGCGCTGAGGTTACCACACGGTCCACAGCTCCAGAGCCAACCCCAGGCCTGCCCGTGCTTGCCCGGTGATCTGGTGAGTCTGCGAGCCTGGGGAGAGAATCCTTGGGCACCCACATCAGGGTTCAAGGGGTGGGCGTCGTGAGCAGGACCAGGCACCCAGGGGTGCCAGCTGCGCCAGCTCTCATTCCTGCCTCACCACAGGCAGGCAGCCCAGCTAGCGTCCAAACCTCCTTCAGGGGCTCCAGGGAACCTTGAAAGATAAGCCACCATCGTACAGCTCGAGGGAAAATCAGAATCGTCCCTAAGGAGTCTCAACAAAGCACCTCCCACCAAGATGGGGCCCCAGGTCCTGGGAGAGCCACGAGCTGTTCTGTCCGAAAGGACAGGGGGCCAGAGAAGCCAGTCCTGGGGGTGGAGGTCAGGGCCACTCACCACGGCTTTCCTAACGTTCTGTGCGAGCGCATTCTGGAGGAAGAGCAGCTCCTCAGCTGAGCCTGAGAGGGCACGGCCCCAGTCAGGGGTGGACAGCCACGCCTCCTGCCCCGTCTCTGCCCCGCTGACACCTGTCCTGGTCCACGTCCACCTCCCCGGGCATCCAGGCCCCAGCTCATCCCTCTCCTTAAAGTCTTCTGGCTCTGACACCCTCTATGTGTCCGTTCTCACAATGCTATAAAGACCTAGCTGAGACTGGGTAATTCATTTTAAAAAGAGGTTTAGTTGACTCACAGTTCTGCAGGCTGTACAGGAAGCATCGCTGGGAGGCCTCAGGAAACAATCATGGCGGAAGGTGAAGGGGAAGCAGGCGCTTCTCACTGTGGCAGAGCAGAAGAGAGAGAATGTGAGGGGCAGGACCTCACACGGTTAAACCCTCAGATCTCGTGAGAACTCACTTAGTATCACGAGAACAGCAAGGGGGATGCTGCCCCGTGATCCAGTTACCTCCCGCCAGGCCCTCCTCCAACACTGGGAATTACAATTCCTCCTGAGATCTGGGTGTGGACACAGAGCCGGACCACAGCACACTCCCCAGATCGGGATCCTGATCTGGGCACCTGCCCAGTCCCCTGTGGAAGCTCCAGCCGGAGACCCGGGGGCCTGCAGTTCCCCTCCCTGAGAGCCCCTCTCTCAGCCCACCCACAGGTTGTATCCCTCCCACCTCCAGATGGGGCTCAGGCCGGCCCTTCCTCCAGCCCCTGCCATCTCCCGGCCAGTGACGCAGTGGCGACGTCACCTCCACAAAGGCTCACACGGTTCCATCTATCCCCTGCTCTTCTCCGCGGAGCACCAGGGTGAGCCTGAGAAACGTGCCCTCTGGCACCTGTCCTCACAAGGCCTCCCCCGGCTTTCTCTGGAGTCCGGCCTCATCTGGCCTCTGCTGGCCACCATGCTCTGTTTCCGCCACCCTGAATGCCCCCTTCCAGGCCTCCCTGGCCAGCACAGCCTCACCCCAGGGGAGCCCTCTGCCATCTCCTCCCTGGCACACGACGTGAACCATGGGTGCCCAGTTCCCCTCGGTCCCCTACCTGCTCCAAGGGCAGGACCCCGACTCATGGCCTCTGGGGTGGGCCACGCTGAGACCCCTGCCCCCGAGGGCCCAGCCTGCGCCTCCTCCACCTCACTGGATTCTGTTAACCCCTCTGCTCCTCCTCCGGGCATGGGGAAGCCACATGGAGGCAGAAGGCAAACATCGGGAGCTGTGTTCCCACCACAGATCCACACTATCGGCTGAGTGCACCCTCACCAGGAAAACTGGGCCCACCGTGGGATTTCCTGGGGCCTCCATGACAAAGGGCCACAAACTGGGGGCTTAGAGCAACAGCTTGGAGGCCGGAAGTCCAAAATCAAGGTGTCCGCAGGGCCACTCTCCCTCTGGAGGCTCTAGGGAGGGATCTTCCTGTCTCTTCAGCTTCCGGGGACCCCAGGATCCCTGGAATTCCCTGGTTCACAGCCACACGGCCTCCTCCCTGAGCCTCCAACCTCTCTCCTTTTTTCATGAGGACACCCGTTACAGGATTTAAGGCGCACCCTATCCGGGATGGGACTATCTCATACCCAGATCTTTAATTTGATTTAACTGCAAAAACCCTATTGGCAAATAAGTTCACCTTTACAGGTCCTGGGGGGGCTAGGACGTCAACATATCTTTTTGTGGGGGGCACATTCAACCCACAACACCAGCACTAGCAGAATTCCAGCCGCGAGAGTCAGGCATATGGGCAGGCCGCTTATGAGGAAGAACACAGAGTGTTGAGGCCGTTTCCTTAAGCCACAGGTAAGAAGAACTTGCTGAGTCAGCTTCAGCATTCATTAAGAGCCACCGATTTCCCGAGAAGGCCCGAAGGAGACGAATAAGCAGCAGCCGCGATTCCATCAAGCTTAATTTAAAACCCTGGTGGAGGAAGGCACAGAAACCAGGGCCGCGGGTCCCAGGAGAACGCTGGAGTCGAATATCTTTGCATTCAGATGTGGGCTTTACATAACAGTAAGAAAGCCTGTGTAATTAGACCTGATGACAAAGAAGCTGCACACCTCCCTCAGTCCCAGGGGCACCGGGCTGCAGCCCACAGCTCCAACCAGACGCCTCGCAGTTCCCGAGGCCAGCACCCCAGAGAAGGAGTGAAGGGATCCTCAGAGCAGAAGATGTTCAGGGATCTCAGCACGTGTGCTCCAAGCAGACATCTCCCTGGGGTCCCCAGGGGCAGGGCCGTGGACAAGCAGCTGGAAGCCCACCTGGCCAGCCTTGCTCCAGAAGATGACCCCCAGGGAGGGCCAGCCTCAGTGGCTGCAGAGACCGGGGGCCCTTCTCATACCCCAAGAGTCACTTCAACCAGATGGTCGGCCACCAGGCAGAGACGGGGCTGCCCAAGGAGATCCACAGCACATCCCGTAAGACACACACTCGGCCCTGGCCCTGTGCCCTCCTGTCTGCGCTTCTAGCCACCCACTGCCCAGCACCAGGCCTCCAGAGCGGGCTCAGCAGGCGCTAAGGGCCCAGCTGTCAGGGTGCTAAGACAGAGCGAGGGTCAAGCTCCCTCTGGTTCTCAGAAGACCCTGGCCAGGATGTACAGGTAGCCGCAGGCCTCAGTCTTGGAGATGGCCCCAGGCAGTGGGGGTGCAGGCAGGAGGTCCTCCGTGTGAATTTAAATTATTTCAGCCCTTCGGCCAGCCAGAAAACAGTTCCAAACCCATCCTGCTGGCCCAGAAGTAGGACGAGGGGAGAGAGAAAGCCGAACCCTCAACCAGCTCCCCCTGCCCTGGTCAGGAAGCCAGAGTGTAAGAATGTGTGGTGCTTGGCGTCCGGCCCCACTCAGCCATCCGTGCTGAACAGGACTCCGTGAAGGACGACAAGGCTGCCTCGGATCCTGATGCTGCGCTTGTTTCAAATCCTTGACGGGGAGAAACGCGGGGCACCACGCGGCACCTCCAGGTCACCGGTTCCCAACTCTGGGATTCAGGCGAGAAGCCGGGGTCTCGGGGTCCCCTGTGACCTCTTGGCCTTTGTTCATGGGGGGCAGTCCTTTGACTTAAAATAGGACCTTTCTCTCCCAAGGCACGTTTCTCACTTGTTCAAGGTACTTTTTACTTTAAATGGAATGCGGTCAAGAAGCCATGTATGGCCACCATGCACGTGGTTGCTCCTCTCTCCTAGGCCTGGGCACCCTGGGGGTGCCCCTGGAAGAGGCCCCCACGCCGTGGAGGTGAGTGAGGGGCTCCGGCCAGCCCGAGAGGGCTGGGATGGCGAGGATGGCTGGATGGGGCGGCTGCCGGGTCTCGGGGCCTGGTGGGTCCCTCCTCGGTGGCCTGACCCGTTTGCTTTGAGCAATGATTCCGTGGGCAGCAGAGCCGCATCCGTGACCAGCCTGCACAGCCCAGCCCCACAGCCCCACAGGAATCTTTCCAAGTAAAGGTTCTAATTATCAGGACATTTTTATTTCAAGCAGAGCTCAATATTTCAAGTTCATCCTGTGCCTACATTTCAGAAAAAAAGAAAATCTTCCAGCAAGAACACAATAAACAAGACGGAGAGCCTCATTAGGAGCCCGTGAGCACCACATCACCAGGCGCGCTGCAGCTCCCCGCCGGCCGCTCCTCCGAGCCCCCCGCACAGTGTGGGTAAGATGGAAAAGGCACTGAGTGCAGCCTGACAGAGAGGAGGGGATGGAACCGGGACCACGAGGCACGGGCTGCCAGACGCACTGCGGCCGCCTCCCGCTCAGGGGTCCCAGCAGGGTCCATGCTGGCGGCTCTGCCTGTCCCTGGCACAGACCACTCCTTACCTGTGGATGACACCCCAATCCTAGGTCTGTCTGCAGGACTCAGGCCCCTCCCGGTGCCCCTTGGCGCTCAGGGACTTTCCAGCAGCGCATGGAGCTGGGGGTGCACGGAGGTGTGTGTGGGCAGCTCAGAGCCCTGCCTGGAGTCCCAGGGTCCTGGGGACAGTCCCATGACAGTCGAGCACACACCTCCTCACCAGCCCCCGCAGCCCCCACGGCCTTGCCCTGCCCTGCCCCCCACACGGCTCCCGGTAAGAGGTCCCCAAGCTCTGTGCCCAGCCCCTGCTCAGTCAAGCCCATGAAGGTCTCACAGATCTGGGCACACGTGGCCATCCTAAACTTGCCCTGCACCCTCCCGGGGGGTTCCAGTGCCTAACAACACACACGTGAGGTCTCCAAGCACCAAACAGACCCCCTGCAGCGGTGGCCATGCTCTGTCCTTCCACTCGCCCAGCAGAGAACCTGCTGCATGCCAGGCCAGGAGCTGCAGGGGAAAGAACGGGGGAAACAAATGAGAGCCCGGCCACCGAATCCCACTGCCCGGGGACCCGCAGAGGACAAGCCATGGAGCCAAAGTGTCTCACAGGTGGACGGGCAGAGCCCGCTGGGGAGATGGCAAAGTGGAAACAGCCTCAGAGGTGGGGAGGGAGGGGCTGCTCTGACTCGGAGGGTCCCCAGCCTCAAGTCCAGAGGGGATGCTGCTTTCTCACGTCTGTGGCAAAGACAAAGCACCGTGCTTGATGGACTTCGAGCATTTTAGTTATTAATTCTGTTTATTGTCCATCATTTCAATTAGAAATTAAATCTGCATGTGTCTTGGTGCTGATTCACAATTAACACCCACTGGGTTTCACAGCTTGTTAGGAAAACAAAAGGGATCATGAAACTTTTAGGAAATTCTAAACAAGAAATACTTTCAGGCCGGGCGCAGTGGCTCACGCCTGTAATCCCAGCACTGTGGGACGCAGAGGTGGGAGGATCGCTTCAGGTCAGGAGTTCCAGACCAGCCTAGCCAATGGTGGTGAAACCCCGTCTCTACTAAAAATGTAACAAATTAGCCGGGTGTGGTGGCGCACACCTGCGGTCCCAGCTACTCGCGAGACTGAGGCCGGAGGACTGCTTGAGCCTGGGAGGTCGAGGCTGCAGTGAGCTGAGATCTCATCACTGCACTCCAGCCTAAGCAACAGACTAAGACCCTGTCTTAAAAAAATAAATAAATAAGTTAGAACAGAGGCAAAAGCATCTTGATTTCCATGAAATTAACATGTGGACATAAATGTGTGGGGAATATTAAAATGTATTGGTCAGATTTTGAACGTATCATATTTAATTCACGGTTCAATTGAAACTCACTTCTTGTTTTGCTGAAGACCTTTGCCTTTTTTTTTTTTTTTTTTTTTAAACCGGTCAAAAGAAAGAACAAGCACCTGGAAATAAGAATAAAATTGAAAACAAATTTGAGGGGTAATTTGGCAGATCCTCCCAAAGTTAAACCAAGTTACAATATGATCCCACAATTCCACTCCTCCCTCCACACCCGAAAGAGCTGACAACATGGGCTGGAGCAGGCGGCACACCCAGGCTCATGGCAGCCCGACTCACAGCAGCCGAAAGGCAGACACAGGGTGGATTCCCCAAAGGGCAGACGCGCGGTGGACTCATGGTACGATGGGGCCAGGTCAGCCTCGGGGAAGGAAGCGCTAATCCCTGCAGCTACACAGAGAACCTTCCAGACACTGTGCTGCCTGCACTCCATTTACGTGAAATATCCAAAAGAGGCAAATTCACGGAGACAGAAAGCAGATTCGTGGTTGCCGGAGCCAGAGCTGGGGAGGGGAAATGAGGAGTGGCTGTTCCCGGGGACGGGGCTTCCTCCTTTCGTGGGGGATGAAAATGTTCTGAAGGCAGACAGAGGTGGGGGTCGTGCCGCCCTGTGAAAGTGCCACATTGAGCTGAATCATTCACTTTGAAATGGTGAAGTTCACGTCATGCGAATTTCACGTCAATAAAATGCAGCACAAAGAGCAAGCTGGAGGGTGATCGTGGTTCCTGGCAGAGCCACTGTCAACTAAGAAGCCATCCCTGGGTGAAGGTGCATGCAAGGCCTGACCCCAGGCCCATCGCCCACGCGGTCACCGCGGGGCAGACAATGTCCGTTTTCACTTTCAAAGTCAGCCGATAGACAACGCAGGAAGGCCAGCTGCCGTTGGTGTCCATGACAGCTGTCTTCACCGTGTAAGTGCCAGCCGGGCGTTCAGAGGGGAGGTGCCCAGCAGAGACCCTGAAATCTAAGGCCCGTGTTGGATGAGCAGGACGTGACGGGATCGGGCTGAGGAGGGGGCGCGTGTGGATGGACGTCGTTCAGTCCATAAGGAGGTTGGTCACTGAACCTCACATCACCCACAGGGGTCACAGCCCAGGATCTAAGAGTAGCTCAGTTTGCAGTGGGGGGGGGGGCTTCTGCAAAGGGGGCCGCACTATCCACTCTCCCACACCCTGGTGTGCCCAGGCAACTTCATCAGGGACAGCTGAGAAAGGAAGAGGCACATTTAGGAGAGTTCCATCTGAAATACCCAAAGTTAAACAACATAAAGCGCAGGTAGGCGCCCGGAGGGGCTCCCCTCCCATCGCCACAGCCTCTCGTCTGCACCAAGGACCCAAGGCCACTGGCCTCCCTGTCCACTCACAGATCTGGGACCCCCAATACTCAGACCGGACCTCGTCTCTTCCCTGCTTAAGCAGCAGCCCTGCCCCTGCAGCCCCCAGACCCCAGAGCAGGATCGAGGAGAGAATATCACCCTGGTGTCCCCAAAACCGTGGAGCAGGAGCTGTGTCTGCCTGTGACCAAGTTCTGTCCCCAGCTCCAGCAGGTGCCCAGGCCCGGGTATGGAGCCCCCAGTCTACGGGCAAAGACCCCTCTGTGGGCAGCAGCCTACAGTCCTGCCAGGCACTGCATCCGCTCTTGGAGGAGTCCCTTTTCGCTCCCACAGGCTGGAGTCCCACAGGGGCCATGTCCACTTCGGGACACCAGGGGTCGGCTCAGGACCCAGCACATTTGGTGGGTCAGAGCAGCTCACTCAGCCTCTGCAAGAAAATCATCTTTAGATCTTTAGATTGCAGGGTCCAGGGTGAGAGTATTTGAAATATTGGAAACCTGAGTCATGGCTCAGGGAAGGAAAACAGGATGGGTGAAAAACCAAGACAGCGCCCTGGCCGGGTCCTCCTGGCATCTCCCGTCACTCCTGGCCCAGGTCAGGGTCTCCATCTCTAGAGACCAGTTGGCCAACGGCTCCTTCCCACCCACACACAGGTGAAGTCAGGCCCAGCCACCTAGCAGAGACCCGGGTTTGGTTGTCCCAAGTCCTCAGCCTTCTAATCCCAGGTTCTCAGTCCCGGGCTGCAGCGAGAGGCCCTACGGGGCCCACAGTCCAGGGACCCTGTCATGTGTGTTTGAATCGGAGGCGGCTCAGCCGGAGACCACTGGCAGCATTGAGATGCTTTGGTTGGATCGAGGCATTTGGGTTTCAGCAGCTGCCATGTCTGATTAGACCTGATGCATTGAGCCTGACGCGCCGGGCGGCTGTTAGCGCTGCTGATGAGGAAACCAGTGATCCAGAAAGAACACCGCGGCCCAGCAGGCAGTGCTGCAGTCAGGAA